AGTTAGGATATGTCTGTCTTCATTTGTTGTGCCTGTGCACTTTACTGTTACTTTTGTTGGAAAATGTCTTGTCTTGTCTTCACCGTGGGATAGTTAGGAACGCAATTTCAATTCCGTTGTATGTCTGGTATATGTGAAGAAATTGACAATAAAGCTGACTTTGACGGAGGACAAAATGCCATGAGTGAAATATCAGCACAGTCCAAATTACCTGTGAGGTGTAACTACAGCACCCAACTTCTACAAGCACACATTTCATAAAGATCACAGATGAATGTATCTGCTCATCAGTGGTCATCAATCAGAGGGAATTCATCCTCTAAATTCCTCAGTGAATAATGGGATGATGGGAGGAGGGCGGCTGATTAGAGGAGCGCCCTCATGGAGTGGAGAGGCTGCCGACATCTTTATCTGTCACAGCTCTGGCTCTGATGCTAAATTGACAGCTTCAGAATGTGTCTTAAATGCTAATTCAATGGGTAAATCCATAGAGAGCCGAGCTCGCTGTAGTGCCCTCTAGGGCAGCAGTGTTATCCGGGGTCCCTAAGGAGTGTCCAGTGCTGCTCTGTGTGGTCCGGCCCCCCCAGGAGAAGGGCTGCGGCTGGCTGGGGGTTTCTGGGCCTCTGCCTCCCTCTCCTCCCTGTCCCCCTTTGATATCAGGAGTGCTGGAATGGAGGAGTAGCACTGGAAGGGAGGTGTGTGGGGGGTGAGGAGTGAGGAGGGGGGGTGCGGGTCTCCCTAGTTGCCAAGCGAACGCCATATGGGCAGCTCACTGGTGTTACTGGGGGCCCGGGGCAGTTCCCAGAATTCACATGATAATGAAGCCCGAGGCCATTCAGAGTGCTGGCCTAAAGCTGGGCCTAAGAGCTTTTGATAGCCCCCAGCAGCCTGTAGGCCTGCCCACCCTGGGCCCAGCCAGCTTTCCTGCCAGGCCCAAACCACCTGTTTGATTTTCCCAGGGCCCTGCCACAGCGGAGCGAGAGCAGAGAAAGAGGGAGAAGGGAGGAGGGGAGGGGCAGCAAAGGAATGTCTCCCTCTTATTTTGTCACTGAGTGTGTACTTCCCATTCACTTCCTCTTTATAATCCTCCAACCCTCCCCTCACGTGCACACACACATACACACTGTTGCATAAACACGGACGTGCACGTGAACACACGCACCCCAGTATAACCTAGATGCACATACACACACACACCCCTGCTGACCCACACACAGTCCCTTTCCCCTTTTGTTAAACCCCCTGCAACAATCCCAGGGAGAAGAATGAAGTTTAAAAGTAGGGCACCTTCTGCTGCATCGAAGTTTCACACAAGCGTATTCCTGGAAGAGGGCCCTGAGTGAAAAGCAGGGCGTTTGTCTTAGCTGCGTGTCTCTCAGTTCTACGTGGGAACCAGGAGGATGCTCACCGGGCAGCTGAGGGGACTGGGCGACTGACAGTGGCCGTTGGGTGGGGGTGACTAAGAGGGTGATGGAGACTGGGGTGGTTTAAGGGACACCACGAGAGGAGAGGAGGGATGGGAGGGAGCAGGGAGAGGGGATGATTTTTGTAGCACTTGCGGGGGGTCGATGTATGTTTACCAAAAGGGCACATTCCTCTATCGTGAGAATGGCTGTTTTCAATGTGCAGCAAAGGCACCAGGACAGACGGGGCAGATGGTCCCAGGCCCTCGCTCACTGCAGCCACATGAAAACACAGGTTCAGGCCTCACTTGTTGCTGTGTTGAATAGTCAAAGTGAACTTCAGGTCAGTTTGATTTGGCTATGGGTCTTGAAGTTACTGTTGGGAAATCATGTGACGTGATCACTGAAAACACACTCACACACTGGGAGCCCAGGTGTGCAGGTGTGACGCTGTGTACTCTGCGGCCACTTCTAGTTCCCGGTGTGAAGGTGGGGCAGCGTTCCTACAGTTTAACCAGAAATGTTGCCTTGCTGGGGGCTAAACACCTGCGTTGCAATCCTAGAGAAAAGAGCAGGGAGTGGGGGTGTAAACCTGAGCTGCTCGTGTTTACCCCCCACCCTTACCTAACAGAGTCTCTGGTTACTGTAGTCCCCTGGCTGAGCTGTTTCTTATAGCACGTTATTAAGGTCAGGTGAACAAGGGACATCTGCATAGAAAACATTACAATAACACTGCACTGTAGCTCTATTGAATGTGACAAGAATACACACACCTACACCTGTTGCACCTGCGCTGCCTCCAGTAGACTGCATGAATAGATAGCCAGATTCCCACACCCATGTAAATTAACTTCCTCTTGCTCTTACACCCTCTATACAGCACCGATAAATAGAAACAACAAACAAGAGGGGAAACTGGAGCGGGCTCAGATCACAGCTGAGCCAGCCGAGACTGTTAAGGTGGGACTTTGGTGTCAAGAGCGTCAGGAGAGAGAAACAAAAACTCCACAAGGCCCAAATAACTTGATTATACCCGCTCCACAATCAAAACAAAAGTGGCAGACCCAATCTGTTCACTGTCAATGGTGGCTCTCATTTGTCAAGCCCATCCAAGAGGTTGGTTCTCAGGCGACTCGCACAATGCCCAGTGACAAACAGGAGGGCTCTCCTTTTAGCCTTGCCTGCCACTGGGAAGCCCATCTGAAGTATTAATCTTTGGGTGGAAGAGTGGAGGAGAGGGCTCAGCCTGGCCCAGCCATTGTCCCCAGGCCTGGGCCCTCTGAATGGGGCTTTGTCAGCTCCCCAGCTGCCACTGTCCATGCTCCATCTTTGGGCTTTGGCTCCCATGTCCCGTGGCCGTGCTGACTGGACGCCTCCGTGCAGCTGTGGGGATGTGCGGCGTTTGTGTGTGTGTGTGCGGGATGGGCAGAGAGAGAGAGGTCAGGTGACAGACCATTCGTCTCACACACACAGAAACACACTCACACAAATATGTGGCTTTACATAGGATCTCACTCTGCATTTCAAAGTGGTGCATGCAGTTGCCATGGAATCATGAAAACAACAGAATTAGTTTAATATTGGTTCATATTTTTATAGCACTTTATCAATGGAAAACATTATTGTACTGTATTATAAAAATATTTAAAGATAAACTATTAATGTCCCCTCTTACAAAGTTATCAATTCTACTTGTTGATTTAGCATAATCCTAGGAATAATGCAAATTGAGTCTGATCCTGCTTTTGTATTATCAACTAGCTTTGAACTTTTTAATTTATTTATTGAAGCACCTTTGGTTTTCAAAGGCACTATAGACATAAAGTTTTAATATTCTAATTTTTGCAATTGGGCATTGACAATGACCTGTGATCCGGTTACTTTCTCTAGATGAATCTGCTTATTATTTATGATATATTTAATGCCTCATACTGACAGTATATACATTTATTCATTGCCCCCTCAACCAGCCTCTTGTTCCACATTACTGTCTGAGATGTAAATTAGCAAACAGTGGACACAGAAAGAGGGACAATACTGGAGCTGATGTGAAGGTTTCCCGAAAGCATTTGTTTGTTCTCCATCTCCCTCCTGCAGCAGGAGGCAGCTGGCCAGCAGCAATCAGGCCTGTCCCCCATAGGCATCTTCTGGCTACCAGCTGAGAACAGCTGGTCTCTCCTTCTGCTACCAGTGGACCTGGGCCCTGCTGGAGGTCCTGGAAGAGGAGGAGGCCTCATACAGGATCAGACAAACAGGCAGCTTTCACACACAGACAGGTTCTGCTAATGAAGAGACCTCATTAGGAAACATTTACAGTCCCTGCGGAGGTGCATCTTTTGTTCAGCCAGTGGTTCCAGGGGGAGATCTACAGACACAGGACCCCACCGTCTCACCGTGGCCTCGGCGCAAAGTCAGTGTTAGCTCACCCGAGCGTCCGCTGTGTGATGTCAGCGGCAAACTGTTGCTGAAGTCAAAGAAGCATTGGGAGGGGAGAAGTAGTTGCTGGTGGTGCTTGGGGGGGGGTTTGATGAGCGGACGGAAAAGGGACTCGGGCGTTATTAGATTTGCAACAAGCCGTAACACTGTCTCCCATTGTGTATCCCTCCACCCCTGCCCTCCCCCAAGCCCCTGACCGCAGAGAACTCTTACCCAGCATCCCCTCCTTCTCCAACTCCTTCTCACCCCCTCCTCAACCAGCACCCCACCCCACACCCCCCAACTAAAGCTCTCTCACCAGGCAATTGCCACTGGAGTGGAAAGTATTCCAGAGCACAATGCCTATGCTCTCAATGGGTGCTTTAGCATGCCACCAGTGCGCTGTCACCAGCAGATGGGGAGCTAATTAGAAGCCATTAAAGGGCTTTGATAGTGTGTGTGGGAACCAGGCGGAGGGAGATGGCCACAGGGGTGTAAAGGAGGGGTGAGATTCAGGTCTGGTGCATGCACACACATACATATGTACACAAGTGAGGGAAAAAAATAGAGAACGAGCTGTCCCTGTGAGTCCTTCGGGGGCCAAGGACACAGAGCAGTGGACACCTGTGGAGCTTCAAGGATCTCTGTGAGGCTGCAGCGCACCAACTATCAGATGGAGATAGAGTTCCTGTAACCTGCCCCTGGCTCTCAGGGGATGGCACCCATCCACCCACCCAGTCTGTCTGCCCGTCTGCACACAGGAAAAACACCAACAAGCGGCGAGGCTCCAGTCTGTCTGCACTGCGGAATGACACATCTCTGAACCAGGACTCCCACAGGAAGTGACTCCCAACCACGGGTCCTCAGTCATTACAGAGGCTGCGCTGCCCAGGGAGGTGCCAGGGCCATGCTGGGGCACACCAGGAATCCAGGCGGAAACATGCATAACACACCCACAGACACAGTGACACACACATGCACACACACACACACACACACACACACACACACACACACACACACACACACAGCGTTACAAGTTCTCACACACAGCACACACTTCCTCCACTTGTGCCTGTGACTGATGAGTCTCAAGTCAATCGTCACTCGGCCGCAGAGAGCTGTGACAGTGTGGTGTGGTAAAAGTTTTTGTATCTGACACCACACACACCCCTCCCTGTCTCACATGAGCCTCTCCACACACCTGCACACAGGTGTGATCATTATCAAGCAAACAGGAAGAGCCTGACTGGGAACTGGAAACTAATCCCACAGCTGCAGGGAGAAGACCTATGTGCTCACGTGTGTGTGTTCGTGTGTGTGTTAGTAAAAATTGTTGAAAACTTGCATGTGGTGCTCGCCTCTCATTATCAAATTCCTCCCCGTTTCTTTTCAACAGTGTATCTCAATAATCGTACTGAAGTCAAATCCTCTGTCTAAGAAAGCGTTTATTCTCCTCCGCCATCATTGTGCTTTGGTCTCTTTCATGTTTCAGGAAGTAGTATGAGAATTACTTATTGTCCCCCACAGTAATAATAACAGCAGCAAAAGTGTGAAAGCATTGCTGGAATGTCCTATTTCCTCTGAATGGATTCCTGCACAGACGTTTCCCCTTCTTGGCTTCCTGTAGGGTGCTCTTATAGATCTACAGTATTTGCTGTATCGTGATAAAGAGGGCATACTAGCTGTTATGTTTTCCCCTACACCAAATGGAACAATTTATCCTGGAAAAAAAAAAACGCTACTGGGAAACGGCTTGTGTGCTGGCACAAATATAGCCAAGATACACAATGTCCTGAAAAGAAGACAAGTTGTTGCCTTTCTGTTGTTTGATGGATGGGGGATGCTGCAGCAGAAACAGTAGCCTGTCGTAGGAAATAAAATACTAAGTGATAATCGACTCACATATAACGAGTCCCCTGGGAAATGAATTCTGTGTCAGCGATGAAGGGGGAGCTGCGAGAGGGCACTGGCGTTGTCAGTTAAAATCAGGAGCTAATATGTTTCACTTTTCTCTCCCCTCCTCTGCCTCATCGCTCTGTCTTCTCTCTCCCCTCGCCTTGATGTGCTGTAAACAGGCTAAAAAGGGCCCAGCTGTGTGGAGTTATTGTTGGTGTCAGTAGGAAGTGCTGATAGCTTTTGCAGCTGAACAAAAGCTGGATGAGGGGAGTGGAGGGGCGCTCCAGACACTGTGGCTCCAGCCTAGATTCTCTCCCACAATCCCTGCACCGCACTCCCATTGTTCTACCCACCCGGCCCTCCCTCCGCCCTGTCAGCTGCGACCTAGGACAGAGGGCAAAAAAAAGGGGAAAAAAGAAAGTTTTTTTTCAAAGTTTTTATGGGCTACTGCAACAGCTAGAAGAAACAGTCCCAGTGGTAGTTAACTTTGTTACAGGACAACGACACTGACGTTGGCTTTGGTGTAACATCTGTGCAGATTTTAGCAGAGGCTCTTTAAACAGCATTTAAATTAAAATCTGAGAGGAAGAAGCTGGATTTATTTCTTTAGGAGGATACAAATAGATTTAAAACTTGTGAAAAACTTGTGTCAGTCTGCACAAATACCATTACATAACATAACATACATACATAACATTTGATGCATTGTTGTAGAATAGACTACCCAACAGTAAACAGACATAGATTCACATTGGCCAGCAACAATAGCTTACGTGTAAATAAGTCAGTAGTGACTGTCTGGTAATATATTATACATAATGATATATAAAACATACCATTGTCACACATAACAATTTTTTTGACTTTTCATACAAGTACATTTGTGTAATAACCAGTAGTTTTACTTAGGTCATGTCTTCCACTATACTGTATTATAATAGGTGTTATTGTAGCTTGATAAGTGGGTTATTATGTCACTGCAGTGGAATATATGTGGAGGGTAACACTGGATATATATGCAAACAGATTAGCTTCCTCATTCTCAAGTTAAATCCATAAAAGTAGGCTACAATCTAAATTATGTAGTTTGACAGCACTAATGCATAGTATTATATATATAATATTATCATCTTAATATTATTTATTATACATAGGCTATTTTTGTCCTGTCGTAACCACAGGGGCAAATAGTGAAGTGGGCTGTGTGTAGGAATGCAACAGTTATTTAGTGTCACAAGGCAATGCATTCATTTGCATTTAGCGAATGAGCTGACAGATTGCAAGAGAAGTTAGGATGGTTTATATTAGTGTTTAGATTGAAAATGAAAAAAAAATGTTTTTCCTACTCCATAAAACATCAATTAAAAATGGTGTCTCAACATATATAGTTTAAATCAGTCTAATCCTACAGTGACAACAGGGTCGTACAGATGTGGCAGCAGCTGTGTGCAGGAACAGTTATTAAGTGTTCAAATGCAACAGGTTTATTATAATTCAGCACGTTCACTGAGGAATATAAAGAGAAATCAAATGTTTTATTTTGGTCGATCGCTGAAAAATAAATAAATAAGATAACAGCTTTTTTCAACTACATAAAACTTCAAATGCATTGTGTTGCTTCTACATGTGATTGTGTAAATCAGTATTACTGTGCAGCGAGCACAGGGTCATACAGTTGTGACAGCGGCTGTGTGCAGGAATGCAACAGTTATTTAGTGTCACAAGGCAATGCATTCATTTGCATTTAGCGAATGAGCTGACAGATTGCAAGATAATTTATGATGGTGTATTTTTGTGTTTAGATTGAAAATGAAATAAATAAGAACAAATGTTTTTCCTACTCCTAAAACATCAATTCAAAATGGTGGTGTCTCATATATATAGTTTGAATCAGTCTTGTCCTACAGTGAGCACAGGGTCATACAGTTGTGACAGCGGCTGTGTGCAGGAATGCAACAGTTTGTGTTAAAATGAAGTGACAACATAATGCGGAGCCTTCCTCCCCCTCCTCCCCCTCCTCCCCCTGTTGACCCGCTCACAGTGTCGGTGCAGGTGCGGGGCTGTAATCCCATCCCGCCGCTTTAAGGTGATAAATGAACGAGAGAGAGGAGAAAAGCTCCGGTCTGTTCTCAGGACTCGGGCCCGCGCAGCTCGCAGGTGAAGGAGAAGCGCGCCCTCCTTGTTTGACGTCTCCATGGAGACCGCCCGAGCGGCGCCAGGCTGACAGGCGTCAAGGCTCCGATGAATGGGTGACGTCACCGCGCTGGCGCCTGCCAGTCTGCTCGGGCTTGTTTGGACAATCTGGGGGGAAGATTCAGAGAGAGAGAGAGAGAGAGAGACGCCATCACACACACACACACACACACACACACACACACACACACACACACACACAC